ATATATATATATATTATATTATAATATACTTCCGAGGTCCTAGAAGTGAGTAGTAGTAGGTAGGTAGGTAGGTAGGTAGGTAGGTAGGTCGGAGGGAGGGAGGGAGGGAGGTAGTTAGGTAGGTAGGTAGGTAGGTAGGTCGGTGGGTGGGTGGGTGGGTGGGTGGGTGGGTGGATAGTAGTAGTAAGCTCTTGTAAGATGCACCAACACTTTTTGGATAGGAGCAGATCATGTTTTGGGTGGTTGGTTGGTGGTCCAAAGTAGACGGGTTCTAGGTTGGGATTGTTTCTATCATCAGTGTGCTTGTTCTTGCAGTTTCTATCAATCATCCCCTGCGTCCCCATCCTGTTGCGCACAGTCCGGAGTATGCGCTGCTAGAGGTCCGGAATGTGAAATCTGCCGCCAGCCACCAGCTGCGGTACAAACAACATGCTTGATGTATCTTCATCTATGAATGGTAGGGGATCGCTTACCTCAACTTGTTGATGTTGCTTTATTGTAGGTGCCTGTGTTGAGAACATTCCCCAGGTCTGAAGATGTTTGGACCGGGGTTTAGTATCACCTGCTTTTCCTTTGGTGGGTTGCTGAACCTCTGGGCCTTTGGGTTCTGACTTCGGTCCTTTGCTCTGTTTGTTTGGGTTCAGGTTGTGTCCCTCTTCTTATTTTGGAATAGGGAAATTGGAGCCCATTTTGTTCATGCATTCATGCATCTTGTTTTGGACAACGTGCGTGTTCTACTTTATACCGCAGTGCATTTCTGTGATGTGGCTTGTTCTCCAGTGGTGGCACTGCGGTTGTTGGATTTTTGCCCCGCCCGCCTCCCTTAAACCAGGGGGGTGTTATTGCACTCCATTACTGATATTCTGTCTTGGCCATGTTGGTGATCTGTGCAACACAGATCCGTGGGCCTCATACCCCCAGCTTGCCAGTCTATGACTGAGAAAAGAAGGAGTGCGGCTTGGAGAGGGGAGACACTGACGTCTCGGTTGATTCGATTGTCATTGTTGCTTGGGGAAGTCTCAGTTTTGCTGGCCATTGGGGCCTCCTTCCCTTTTGTTTTGGCAGGCGCCCTACCAGGTTGCCTCTAATAAATACCCGGGAATGGTAAGAAATTCACTAACACTCACGCGTTGCGCGTCGAGTCCGTCTCCCCGTGCGCAACGCGCGGAGACTCTGCGCTGAGGCACGTGCCAAGGTCATCGCCGAATGTGCGCAGCGGCAGCTGAAGCGCAGTGAGGCAGGGCGTTTGGACCCGACGGCGGCAAGGACCGTCTTTGCGTGTTCTTTTTGGTCTCACAGACGAGCGGACGTGGACATGGGATGAACATTTTATGTGTTGATGTCTTACATGTTCTTTTTGGTGTTGAAGCAAAGTTAAAGACTCTGGTGGGAATGCCCAAAGGAATTTGGTCACCCTCTATTCTCGCTGGCCCCATGGCGCCGAGCCCCGTATGCCGCAGGGCTTGCTGCGGCAGTCTGCGTTGGCGGCCTTGGTGGCCAGGCCAGGGCCATGGGTATCGAAGGGACCAGTGAATTCGAAGACCACGGCTGAGAAAACTCGCGGGCTTTCGTCGTAGCTTAGGTGGTGGTTGTTTTCCATCTTGCTATGTTGAAGTGTTTGTGTTTCTCTTTCAGGTTCACGCCGGTCCTTCCGGAGGAACCGCGTGAACCTGCTTTCAGGAACATTTCCTCGGCCTGTTCACAGCCAGAAAGACACAGCGAACACTTCCTGCCGAACCCCCTGGGTGTGTTCCATGCTTTGGGGCAGCTTGGTGGGTGAACACAATTGGTTTAACAGACACGAGACCAACGGGCATCGTTCCAGTCCCATTTGACTCGGTCACTACTCTGCTAAGTATGAACAACATCTATTGAAGTTGTGCTTTGGGGCAGGGAAGGCCACCTGCAAGATATGACAAAGTTCCAGCTTGTTTAAACTTGACATCTCGGCAGGGAGAGTCATGGTGCAGATGCCTACCAAGCGTTTCGAACGCAGCGATGCTCCGGACAGACTCGTTTTGGATCCGCTCGTCGGACGCAAAGTGCAGTCTTCCAGCACCCGCAGTGCAGGTATGTCCACCCCGCAGTGATGCAAGCAGCTGAAGCTGGCTGCGTGGCCTGCTACACCGAAATCCCCACAGATGACGCCGCACTGCAGGCACAAGGAATGCGAGCGGATCAGACCAGCCTCTTCAAAACTCATGTGCGGCAGCATCCAGAACTACGGTTGATTTGGGATGGGGATGGGGGTTTGCACCATTTTTCACCAAGCAAAGTGCTGGTCCTCAAAACGAACAATACATGCAAACAAGACATAGACAGACCCCCAACTTGGCCTCTTTTCCCGGTGGCCACGCCAGACCAAACGAGACGGCGCTAGACCAAGAGAAAGAAGGGAGACCAGACGAGCGCACCTTGGAACCGAGACGAGGCCTTGTTTGAGGTGGTGGCGTCAGAGCCGCAGCACACCAAGGACGTGCCCGGGTCGGTCGTCAAGTCCACTGCCTCCGCCGCGAGTCGTAAAAGCAGACAGTTTTTGGGTTGAAGAAGCAGGCCCAAAGACCACGTATTCTTCCTTGTCGAAGCCTCATGGAGAAGCTGCCTGTCTACTCTCCTCTACACCCCTGTCACCCCCCCACACAGATATGGTTGAACCCTTTAGGGACCTATGGGGATGGACCCAGACGTCGAATCCTCGACCCGGTGACACCCGCGCCACGGCGTGGCACCCCGTGGCCACCCCCCATGGCACCCCCGCACCGTGGCAGGTTCGCCTCGACCCCCGCGGCGCGTCGCAGGAGGTGGGAGCCATGTTGTGCGCGCACCTGGCCACCGATGGGTTCCAGGCCACCGGGGCCACCGGGCGTCGAGTCGACGATGCCCGACGGAAGACGCCTTGGCGGCGGGCGATGGGCGATGATGGGCAGAAACATCGCGGGGTCTCGGAGTGGTGTGTGTGGGGGGGGTTTTGAAATACATGGAACATACCTGGACCATCCTGTCTGGGTGTCCTGTCTGGAGATCCCGTTAACTAGTGCAGGGTAGTCCAGCCAAGACACCCATTGCTACCTGGAAGATATATCGAAGTCAGGTGACAGACTGACGCAAGCCATCACGACCTGAAGAACTGAGCTCAGTTCAACAAGTCTGAAACCACCAGTCCCTTCTGTTTCGGCTGAGTTTCGAAGCCGCTTCGCACCGGAGCGACCGGGGCGAACCGGCTTCGGCCAGGTGGAGCCGAAATACCACGATCCGGAGTACGGGCTTTGGCGCGGCTTTTGGGTGCGGCGGCTCAGTGTGGGGCTTCGGTGCGTCCGGACTCACATCACCCGTCTTGGCCCAAACACACACTAGCTGGGCGAACGAAGCACATGTCGGACGGATGGGGTTTCCAATTGGTAGATTTGGTGAACGAATGTGGTAGACATTGGTGCCGGGTAGTTCATGATTCGGCGCCCAGTGTTCTTCTGAACTCCGGGTAGTTCATGATTCTTCAATGCGAACATGACAGGCTCACCCACACAGACCTGCCTGTCCTTCTGGGACCGCGGACCGCGGTTTCTTCCGCCTCACCAGCTCAGTGGTTTTCTTCCGCCTCAGGTGGAGAAATGCAACCGACTGCGCCTGGTCCTTCGCTGGTAGCTGGTCACCACAGTAAAAGCTGAGTGTAGCGTTCTGTAGCGTTCTCGACATGGCGAAGCGGTGTGTCTCAGAATGCCGCCCCCAAAACCATTGGATTTGGCTTGGTTCTCACGAGTCAGCAGTGTTGCATATTGTCAGACACACCCAAAAAGCGGCCATGACTGTTGGCACCAGGAAGGGAGACTCTTCTGGGTGTGCCTTTGCACATAGAACCTGACAGTCACCCACTGCGGTTTCAGGAAGGTTCCAGCAAAACCATGGCAATTGGCCGTGGTCCTCTGTTTCACAGTGACAGCCTATTTCCTCCTGAATGTATGGATGAAGACATCAACTTTGAGAGCTTGAACCTCCCAGGAATTCACTGACAGTGATGCCGGCTCGCCGGCGACCTGGGCGGCCGACCTGCCAAAAGGGCCTGAAACACGGGCCGGCCGAGCGGGGGAAGGAGGTCAGCTGGAAGAGTCGTTTCGGGCTCTTCCAGCGTCACTAGACACTTTCGTTACGTGAGATATCATTAGTGTACCAAGAGCTCTTGATTGATATGAAGAGGTTGTACAATCTACGTCTTGGGGTTGATTCATCAAGTGAATCAAGAGTGTACATTAAAGGGGAGATTGAGATTGATCGCTGCCAAGACTGCCAGAGATGGAGTAACCTCCCCCCAAGAATGACTTTAAACATATTCTAAACAACTGGGTGAAGGCGTTTCCACAGGTTTGTGTCTTGTGTCAGGAGCACCTGGGTCAAATAGTTGAGATGCTTTACTAGTCCCCATTGTTCTTTTGTTGCACGTGTTCTTTTCCACCTTTTTTGACGTCAGCAGTACGCCCCTCGATCTCATACGTCTTAGTACGTCCTGACTGCTTGAAACAGGACGTGAAACAGTTTGACCAAGGCACGCGCCAAAAAAGGAACTGCTCAAGTCATCAATTCGCTGTTCTTCCGCATTATATAGATCGAACAGGATTTGCATATTTTATCCCTTTGCTGGGGTATCTTGGCAGCCTTTGATGTGGCACACGAAAGGTAGTGTATTAGATTCTGATTCATTTGGATGTGATAGAAGTGAAACAGACTTGCAGGTAGGGAATCCCTACAGTACCCTAACGAAGCCACGCGATGTCCATCCTAGCGCAATGACTATAGGACTATAGGTCAGAAGCTCTCACGAGACCATGGTGGACACAGTAGGATCTACTATGTCGACAATGTCTTGTTTTCTTCACTCATTTCTTCCATCCACTCGCACCCTTCGCCACACCAACGCAAACAAAACACCGAAAGATGCGACCTACCGGCACCACGGAATTCGGGTAGTATAGGGGTGTCCCCTGACTCCGGACGAATGCATGTTCCATCCAACCACCACCTGAACTCCGTGGTGCTTGTGAGCCGCCATGGCGCATGTCGGCTCCAGCCGCTTCGGAGGCTTGCGACATGTTTCAGCTCGTGGAGCTCCAAAAGCGTCGCTGGAAGGGCCCCTTCCAAGTTTGGGGGGCTGTGGCTATCACCCACCATGGTGGGTCAAATGGCTGGAACCCGATCCCCCAAGGAAATCTGGAACATTTGGTAGGACTCCATAGTTTGACCGGCCTGCAGACCCTATCCTTCTCTTGAAGATGATGGAAGGCGCCCTTCCCTTCTATGAGAGCAAGGAGTAGGGTGCCGTAGGGATAGGATTTGATAGAATTGGCTGAATTGGCCCACCAAAGTCGATGGGATACTGGAGGTGTTCAGCGAGTTTGTGACTTGTAGGTTGAGCCTTGACACCTTGATCCTTCCCTGAGGGCTTTTCATCCATGGCATGGCCTCGTCAGGCGGCATGGCCTGGGCACCAGCACGGCTGACACCAGCATGGAGGCAAGCAGATGTTGGCAAAGATGGAGGCAAGCAGATGTTTCACAACTGACCCAATAACCAATAACCAGTGGTTCCCCTTCCATTAGCTTTTCGTTTTTGGGTGTCTTGGAGAATTCAGGCGTTTTCGTCGTTTTGAACCTTTCGGGCGCATCAACGTTTTCGTCGGTTTTCATCTGTTTCCAGCGTCAGGGCCCCGCGAAAAGTGTTTGCCCTGTGTACAGGGTACAGACCTTGGTGCCGCATTCCTTTGCCGGTGCAGTGGCGACCTTAGATCGATGTACAGATTAACGGGGGCCCGGAAGTGGAGGCAACCTCCGTTGGGAAGATGCCAGAGACCCAAAGAGGTACTTCACATGGGTGTGTGTCAGGGAGACCCCCGTGGCCTTGTAGGGTAGACTGGTCCTATTCTCCTTCTACCAAGGAGTCGAACGGGGACACCCGCAGGTGTTTTCCACTGCAACGTTCTTCAGTCCGTGGGAGTGTGTGCAAAGTAGGTCCCAGCGTCCGTATGCCGACCCTTCCCCACTCTTTTTGACTCGACGATGGTGACGCACTTTGAAGAGGCGCAAACAACACCAAACAACAAAAACCAGGATGGACAGGTCAAGTGCCAAGCAGGTTCTGAACCTTCTAGCTCAGCAAATCATTGACGTCTTTTGACGTGTCAGAGCAAGACATTTCCAGAGTTTGGGGTACCCCTCATGGATGTTCATCTACTTTTTCATCATGTTTGGTTGTTGCTTCACTCTGATTTGCATGACCGAACCATCCCGCACTGGCATGTCACGAACACAAAAGGACTCCTCCTGTTCCTGTTATGCCGTTTCCAACCCGTCTCCGTCTCACTCCGTCTCCGGCCTCCGTACAGCCCGAGGTCCTCCGCGGTGGTCCGACGCGACGCCTGGCGGAAGCGGTCACCATCGACCGGATGCGCAAGGAGATCCGGAGGAGCGGTGTTCGGTGGCGACGCGAGGTCGGTGGAGCGGGGTGAATCCGGGGTTTGGTCGTTTTAGCTCTTTTGTTGTTTTTTTTTTTTCTCGCCTTTTCCCGTGTGTTTTGGCTTGGAGCATGTCTGATCAGATGAAGGGTTTTTGGAGGCACTTGGCCGTGTGCTTGGGAGTTCGAAGGTCTCTTTGGCGGGTTTCCGTTGGTGCGGAGCGCAGAGGGCTCACACAGAGGGGAGGAAAAGGTAGAAGAAAGGAATTCACACCATGGTTTGGGGTGGGTTCCTCTTTGCATCTTGCTCAACCGCTCCTGCTGCTCCTGGGCAGGAGAAGAAGTACGATGGAAAAACTCAAGGGTTGGCGCTACGCGCTGACCTTGTCTGTCTTTGCCGTCTGTGCTTGGGTGGCAGAGCTGGCAAACGCCACGGGGAGGAGAGGTAAACATCGAGTGGACAGGCGGTTCTGTTTCGGTGATGGACACGCACTCATTTGGGTATACGTGGGGTATATAGAGATTTCATTCTCCAACTGGTGGATTTCATACATCAGGCTTCTGGCTGGCTGCGCCACACAGCTCCCGAGTTTGGCCTCTGTTGAATCATTACAGTGGCACAAAAAAACACGTCGACCATTTCAGAGGAGGGAGGGATCCTTTAAACCCAACCTCTGGTGGTGTTTTGGATGATCCAACCACCCCCTCTACATCATCTCCTTAAATACCAGATGGATCCTTAGAGAACCTGCGAAAACCTGTCTCACACCCGCCCCCTGTCCAACGGGTCACCCGCTACGGTCAGGCGCTGTGGCCTGGGCCGTGCGGCGCCTGCGGGGGCGCTTGGGGAAGAGCGGCGCCTTGGCGGCGAGCGCTGCCGGGGCCTTTGGCTTCGTGGTGGCTGCGCGGCGGTGGGAGTTGATGCTTGGTGGAGAGTGGCGATAGGTGGGTGAGGTGGGGACGGGTGGGGTGGGGACGGGTGTAGGGTGTAGGGTGTAGGGATTTCTGTGAAGCTGAGGTGATATGTTTTTTTTCCCGAAAGCATTGCGAAGGGTTCTTCCGGAAAATCCCTTGAACACTGACACTTCGACACTTACATTTACACACTGACACTTCCACCACACTTGCACTACAACACTACAACATGAACGCTATACGTACCCTAGTGTAAGTGGAAGAGCGAAAGCATCCAAGTGCAAAGTATGCAAGTGTCAAAGTATGCAAGTGTAATTATGCAAGTGTCAGTGTAAGTATGCAAGTGATGAGTATGCAAGCATGCAATGAGTATGCAAGCATGCAATGAGTATGCAAGCATGCAATGAGTATGCAAGCATGCAATGAGCATGCAAGCATGCAATGAGTAGGCAAGTGTGAGCATGGAAAACTAGTGGAAAACTAGCACGGGAGATGTCCTAATGAAAAACATTTCCCCACTTTATAAATTCTCTCTTAAAGGCGGAGGGTGGGACGAACAGCGTCAACCGAAAATGCAACCCTCTGCGGAGATCCTGCGTGTCGAGTGCGCGAAATGCAGGCGAGAGTGCGATTTACCGGCTGCCCGCGCAACCCTCTGCGGAGATCCTGCGTGTCGAGTGCGCAAAATGCAGGCGAGAGCGCCGGGCGTCCGGTCCGCGCGCAACCCTCTGCGGAGATCGTGCGTGTCGAGTGCGCGAAATGCAGGAGAGAGTGCCGGGCGTCCGGTGCGCGCGCAACCCTCTGCGGAGATCGGGCGTGTCGAGTGCGCGAAATGCAGGCGAGAGTGCGATTCGTCCGGTGCGCGAGCAACCCTCTGCGGAGATTGTGCGCGTCGAGTGAACGAAATGCAGGCGAGAGCGCGATGTGTCCGGTGCGCGCG